ATCTGGGGTTATTTTGCTGTGGCATACCACTATTTTTACTTGGTTTAGTCACTCCATCCATGCTTAATACACTTGTAGTGTAAATCACACAAACTAGTTTTGTATACTTCATGAAGTAGCATGTCATTCTAGCTTGTTTTGTCTCCATTTCAGTAGGTTTTTGGTGTTGTTTTAGCATGCCATGACTCTGTTTGGGGTGGGTTTGATGGCCCCTTGCATGCTCCATACACTTGTAGTGTAATTCTATGAATTAGCCTAGTGTGTCTCATGCTTTAACATGTCATTCTAGCATACTTTAGGCTTAACTTCAAGAAGCTTTTGTCCATGCTTTAGCATGCTCTAGCTCTGATTTTGGTTGTCTTGGTCATGCATACCATGCTTTGTATAGCTTTAGTGCATTCTAGCTTGTTAACTTTGTGTGTCAAGTCCACTAGCATGCTTTACTTGGCCTATTTGAATGATTTGGCATCATTTCATATGTGATTTCAGTCCATGTTTCATGCTCATGCACTTGCATTTATTACTCATTCAATGCGTTGGAGGGTTTGCCCCTGTATGCCTTAACATGGGTCATTGCGTATGCCTTCATGCCTTTGCTTGCGAGCTATCATTTCAATGTGTTTTTGGGGTTATCTTGCCATGATATAACTCTGATTTTTGTTGGTTAAGTCGTTCCATTGTTGGTCTTAATAGGTGTAGTGTAATCCACCTTATTTGCCTTGTCTGCATCATGTCTTATGCCCTTCATGATAGCTTGTTTTGGTTTTCTTCCATGCATGTTTTAGTATCATTTTGACATGTTCTAGGACTGTTTTGGGTTGACTTTTCCATATCCTTCATGCTTTGTATAGCTGTAGTGTAATTGGCCTTGCTAGCTTTGTGTTTTGTTGACTCATGCATGCTATCTTTGAGCTATTTAGATGATTTGACATCATTTAATACTTTATTTCAGAGCTTATAGCATTGCCATGTTCCCACTTCATTCATGCTTTGAATGCCTTTGAGTGTTGTGCATTGTTGCCTAGTTTGCGGCCTAGTGTGTATGCTTGCATGCCTAGGTCTTTGAGCCTCCATCTTAGCATGTTTTGGTCCATGTTTTGACCTACTTGAGCTCTGTCCATGGTTGGTTCATGCATATTTTCCATTTATTGCATGCCTCCTTTGTAGTCCTCTTTATTAGCTTTCATGCTTTAGGACCTTTGCATGCTAGACTTGCGTTTGATTGAATGATTGGGCATCATTTCTTACTTAAGTTCAGTGCATTTAGTGTTGTTACACTTCCGCATTTGTCACTCCTTGAGCCTTCTTGAGTGTTGTGCTCTTAGGCCTACTTGGTTGGCCAATGCATTGTGCATGCATGCTTTGTATTTTGTGCCTTTGTTTTGGTGTTATGGCCACTAATTTGGGCATGGCTGAGGTCTATCCATTTTGGTTTAAGTCCATTGAGTATTGTGTATGTCATGTAGTTCATCGCATTGAGTATGCCATGTTATTTGCATGCTTAGGTTACATCGCATTGTGTATGCCATGTTCATCGCATTGTGTATGCCTTTTACTTTGCATTGTGTATGCTTAGGTTACATTATTGCATTGTGCATGCTAATTGATATTTGCATTGTGTATGCTAGTTGTTGCATGCATTAGCATTGAACATGCCATTAGCCTTGTTAGGTTGTTCATATTGCATTGCATGTTTGCATGCTTAAGTCATATTGCATATTTGCATGCTTGTGTTGCATTGCATTTTTGCATACTCCATGTTACATAGTATTGTGCATGCCATGCTTGTGTTGCATCGTGTTTGGAATAGGTGTTAGTCCAAACATGGAAAAAGAGGGACGTTTCATACTTAAAGTGATGAAACGTACCTTAATTCCCGGTCGCTGACGCTCTTGATCATACATGATAGAGTTTTAGGCTTTATGTGTTTACTTGTGCATTCATTTTACATTGAATTGTGCAACTTCGCCTCTCGGCCGTCACGCATCGAAATGCGCGATTGGTGGCCCGAGGGTCGAGAACTACACTCCCTTAAGCTCTTGACATGATAGGGAGGGTGGTTGTGCACACATCTTTTGCAAATACATTGCCATGCCCTTTCTTGCTCTCTGTTGCAGCAAACTAGAATTCAACAGCAATAACTGGTCGGCCAGCCAGAAAAACTAGCTGGCTGAGCACTTTTTTTGGCTTTCAACAAAGATAGGTGGTCGGCAGTGGTTGGTGGCACCCAAAAGTGGTCGGCCACCATCCTACAGGTTTCCCAAGGTGGAGTTTTAGCTTTCTAGAGCTTTGTGCAAAGTTCTGAGGACATTTGCAAACAGAGGCAAATTGGGGCATCGCAACGGATTTCCGAACGAGGCGACCGAGCATGCATCCAGTCTTCTCTCTCTGAGAACCTCTTGTTTTACTGCTTTATTTAGCTTCTTTACTTAGCTAGATTAGGCATTCGTTTTGTACTTTAATAATTAATGCGTTTAGCTATTTAAATTTGTTTTGTAATAATTAGTTAACTAGGATTAGTTAATTAATTTGTTGTGTAATAATTAGTTTAATTAGCTTAGATTAGCTAGTCAGCTTCTTATTCGGTCTCTCCCTCGAGAGGGCCAACTATTGTAATAAGCGTGCGCGTGTGTGATGTATGTTTTCCAACCTCAATTTCTTTTTCCCTTTTACTTAACTGCTTACGATGGTTAGTTTTAGGGCATGTTTCATTTAGCATACCTTATACTTGCATGCGTGCATCCATTCATCTGTATTGCATGCACCGGGCTCGGCGCATCATACTAACCACATTGTATTTTCAATACATTTACTTGAATACATGTTCAACAACATGTTATCGAGTTATATTTCACATGACATTCTAGGTAGCCAAGCCTATCTTAGTTGCATTTTCGCATGTGTTGCATTAGCCATCTTAACATGAACTAGGGTCATGCATTATTTCTAACTAGTTCTTTGTTTTGGCTCGGAGTACACTGTGAGTGTTTACGCTTTAGCATACTGCATGTGTGTTAATGTTGTCATGAAAGCATGCTTGCCATGAGGCTAATTGCTTATTTGATATAACTGCTTGAATGCCTGTGGGTGAAGGTTGGATTACTTGAATTGGAACAATTCATTGAATCCCAAATTTAGCCTACTTGCGAGTAGCAAACTTCAAACCATTTTCACAAACGAACATGCAATGTTTTGTTCCAAATTAGGCGATCTAGTCTATATTTGTTTGCTGTGCGCATCATGTAGTAAGATTAGCTAATTAAGCGGAATAAGAACATATGTGTTTTCAAAAATAAAATATCATGCTTAGTAAAGGCCAATCTTTGATCGGGCGAGCGGGGGTGCTGATTGTATGACCTTCCCCTCTCATACCCAAGTTCCCGAGCTGAGGCAACTTTGGTGATGACGGACATGTGGCCTTAGGCACGAGTCAGAGTTTTCTAAATTCCCCCAAAATAAAATATTTAGGTGGCGACTCTGTATCTGGCAAAGCAGTCCATGTTTGACACTTCTTTATAAAAATCAGTTTTTCAAAACGATTTGTCGGATTTGGACTCTTTGGTGATTTATCAGTCTTGCATTGCACTTTGCGAGATCCGATTAAGAACTGTGACATTGAGTCCAAACTGTAGTAGCTAGAGAACAAAACGAATTTCGCGCCTTCGCAGCACGGAGCTCGATGAGTCCTCGGGGCGCGTCTACAATAACGGCATTTTTTCTTTCCAAATTAATGTTCCATTGTAAACCAATCATAATGACATTAAGAGGAAAAATAAACAAAATATTTTGAAAAATGTTAGGGACTCTAAATATTTTATCAAATGTTTTATATGGGTGTGGGATCCATACTATGTGGGTCCCACCTGGATTCTACATCTATATGAAACAATTGATAGAACATTTGAGATTCCTAAAATATTTTAGTGAATCATACCCAATTATTTATGGCATTGCAATTATAATATATAATTTTTACTGTCTTTCTTTCAAAATTTAAATCAAATTATACATGAAATTCCAATTATGTGATATATAATTTGAGGAGCACGAAATCTGATAATATTGTTTTCTATCCAAATTTATGTTCAATTATGATGGGAGAATTTATGTCGAATGATACTATTATTTGTGGCACCTCATGGAAGTTTAAGAGTTTATCATAAAAGTATATAAAATCTTAATGCGTTAATTACACATTTCATTTTTACAATTTAACTCATATTTTACTTTAGTTTTAATTATTTTATTTTAAATAATTTAGTTCTTATATTTTAAGGTCAATCTTAATGGGTTAATTCTATTTAAATTTTTGTTAATTTGTCTATTTGCACACTTTAGAAAATTGACGAGTGTTCTAAACTTGTTTCCAGTCCATTCCATCCATATCTTAAGGAGATGTACAATTAACAAAAGGGTTACTCCATAGTCAGACTTTTGAACAGAAAATAAAAATAAAAAGGAAATAATTTAAACCAATATCAATTGGACTTTTGAACAGACTCATGTGTTTTGTAATTTAAACGAATAACTATTACTTTGGAATATCATTTGGACTTGCTCTAAGAGTACTAAATAATTTCTCACTACAAATAACTTATGATATGTTATAATGCGTACTTACCCGTCGAAGCATCTAGTTTTAGTGTTTAACATCTATTAATTTTTTGGTATATCTAACATGGCCTACTTACCCCAAAAACATTCTAATCTATACATCCTGTTTAAAAATACTAGTTGTTTAGTACATATTTTCCTACTTTCATTTATTCAATCAACTTAGGCTTCGTTTGGAAACATACTATTTTAGTAATTTTTTAATTTTTTATCAAAAGATGTGCAGAAAAATAGAAAGAATGATGTGACAATTTATAATGACATTTTGACTACAACTGAAGGTTGCTAAATGAGGCCTCACTTATAAAAAAAGGGGCTTGAGAACTAGTTCATGTGCCTATATATACTTTCAAGGCCTTTTTTGGCCTTCTCATCCAAAGAACACAATGGCCAGCAAGCTCTTTATCTTCATATTTTTTAGTTCTCTTCCATTTGTTGTTCTTTCTCCATTTTCATCTTTCAGCAAGATTCAATTGCCACCAAATGTCACAGCTCCGGTGGCTGTCGCCTTTGACTTCCTTGGAAGAGGACCTTATGTCGCTGCCTCCAATGACAGGATTCTCCGATGGCTAGGCCCTTTATTTGATTTCACAGATTTTGCCTACACTACACCAAATAAGTAAACAGTTCCTCTACTTGCACAAAAATCAGTCATATAATTAGATACAATCCTACAGTTATGCTTGCCTACACTTTTTCAACATATAAACGCTATCATAGGAAGCTAGGGTTATGACCAACCAAAAAAAAAAAAAAAAATGAAAAAAGAAAAAGAAAAAGAAAAAGAAAAAGTGAAGAACTTCAATGTAAACTTTTTTGTGGGTTTTTTTGTTTTTGTTTTTGTTTTTGTTTTTGAACTTTTATTGATGTGAAAATATAGTAATGCATTCAATTTCATCAACAAAAGAAGCTGCATCATGGCTAAACAAACATATCCCCCATTAAGTTCATTTTAACAATATATCATATATAATCATGCATATTATTCAAAAGAACATAAACATTAGACAACAATTTCCACATGAGATGAACAAAAAAGGAAAAAAAATACATGACTCACAAATTCTTTTACATAAGAATGTCTAGAATGTTTTGTTGGCAGCATTACATTCTAACTAGGGCTGGCACATAGGAAACTTTTGTTACTAATTTTGCTTTGATTTCTTGTTTAGGACCAAGCAATTGTGTGATGGTACAACTAACCCAAATTTGGGACCTGTATGTGGCAAACCATATGCTCTGAGCTTTAGCTTTAGCGGCAATCTCTACATTGCTGATGCTTATTTGGGGCTCCTAGCAGTTGGACTTAATGGAGGGCGTGCGACCCAACTCGTCACTAGCGCAGAAGACGTGCCTTTTCGCTTCCTTACTGCTGTGGATGTCGACATACTCACTGAAATTGTTTATTTCACAGACTTCAGCGCAACACTCGAGCTAAGGCAAATTCATTGTTTATCATTTCCATTTCAAACCACACCTCTTCACCGTAGACTTATTGGTTTTTTTCATTATGTTCATGCAGAAATATAACGCAGCCAGGCGTAAAAAGTGATGCAACGGGAAAGTTTATGAAATATGACCCTCGGACAAGGCAGGTCACCGTGTTGCTAAGAGGGCTCTCACGTCCTAGTGGGGTAGCAGTGAGTTTGGATTGATCATTTGTGCTCATTTCAGAGAATACTGCAAAAAGAATTCTAAAGTATTGGCTAAGAGGCCCTAAAGCAAATACCGCAGGGATCCTTACAAGCCTTCCTGCAGAACCAAACGAAATAAGAAGGAACCTAGTGGGAGATTTTTGGATGCCAATAAGGACAGTGGCCAATCAAAAACCAGCATCGGTAATTGTGCCTAGAGGTTTAAAGATCAATCAATTTGGAGCAGTGTTGGCAAATATATCTTTGTCCGCGCAATACTACAATGTTAGTGTCAGTGTGATGCTAGAGCAAAATCTTGCATTGTATACTAGCTCTAGTTTTAATGCTGTTAATTTTGTTGGTGTTTATAGGATCTGAAAAGCCATGGTCACCTCAAATAACTAGCTACTACTATACTGCTAAATAAGAGTTAACATTGTGGCTAGAGATCAATGTTGAATGTTTTTTTTTGGGAGTAAATTACAGTTTTACCCCCTAAACTATACGCGCTTTTTCTATTTGGTCCCTTAACAATTGTTTGTGTTCCTTTAGTCCCTAAACTTTAATAATTTGTGTCTTTTAAATCCAATTTGTGTCTGCCGTTCAAATAATTAACGGAATAGCATTAGTAGAGGGCAAAAGGGACATTTTACACACATAAAATTGGAGGGAATATTCCCGTCAGTACGCTGATATATAGCCAAATACATATACATGGCTGTGTATGGGAAAAAAAAAAAACAGAGCATCAAGAAGAGAAAAAAGAGAAAGAGGAAGGAGAGTAGAAAGTGGAAGAACAATGTACCGGATGGATGCAACGTAGTGCTCATGTGGTAGAGCTGCTGTGATGAAGACATCTTAGACAAACTTGAACCCAGGAAGAAGATTCTTATGGTGCAAAGGATATGGGCTCAATGGGGGAGGATGTGGATTTTTTCGGTGGTTTGATGTACCTATGTGTGGCCGGTCCAAGCAAGTTATACCAGGACTCCTACGAAGGATTACTAAGATAGAGGACCAAATATCAAAGATGAAAAGGAAGGAGTATATACTATGGGTTTGTTTGGTTGTGTCTTGGCTTATCATCTTGGTATTATTGCTGTAGAAGATACTCTGAGTTTCTTATGTAATATGTTTGTTATGTAAGTTGTTGGATATGCAATGAATGGAAGGTTTTGTATGGAAAATTATGTGCCCAAATCTTCTATAATGGTTGATTGTGTTTACCAACAAAAAACAAACACACACACACACACACACACACACAAAACAAAATAACAGTTCAGGCCCCCCTCCCCAAATTTAAAGATAAACATCATCATCATTTCCATTCATAAAAGTTTTAACTTCATTGTCATTACAAACACAAAAAGCAAGCCTACATTACTAAATAGTTGACATGAAATTCATTGTCATTACAAGAACAAGAAATAATCCTGCATTTCTAAATACTACTGTGTTGACCCTTTCTTCTTGGATGTGCCTCTCTTGGTTGTTGTTGCCTTTGTCAGTCTTGAGGCTTGAGTGATAGAGGTTGTAGCAACAGGTGGTGTTGGTCTTATAGGCATTGGAGGTTGACTTGCAAAAGTTGTAGCAGCAGGTGGTGGACTCGTTAGCATTGGCCCTTGACTTGCAAATTTGGCAGTAGTAGCAGGTGGTGGCCTCCTTGGCATTGTCTCTTTACGTCCTAAACTATACGCGCGTATAATTGAAAGACACAAATTATGTTGGAACTTTTACAAGTTAAAAGCCAATGCCAAGGAGGCCACCACCTGTTGCTGCTGCCAAATTTTCAAGTCAAGGGTCAATGCTAAGGAGGCCACCACCTACTGCTGCAACTTTTGCAAGTCAACCTCCAATGCCTATAAGACCAACACCACCTATTGCTACAACCTCTATCACTCAAGCCTCAAGACTGACAAGGGCAACGGCAGCCAAGGCAGGCACATCTAAGAAGAGAGGGTCAACATAGTAGTATTTAGAAATGTAGGATTATTTTTTGTGTTTGTAATGACAATGAACTTCATGTCAGCTATATAGTAATGTAGGCTTGCTTTTTGTGTTTGTAATGAATGAAGTTAAAACTTTTATGAATGGAAATGATGATGATGTTTATCTTTAAATTGGGGGAGGGAGGGCTGAACTGTTATTCTTTTGTGTGTGTGTGTGTGTGTGTGTGTGTTTGTTTTTTGTTGGTAAACACAATCAACCATTATAGAAGATTTGGGCACAGAATTTTCTATACAAAACCTTCCATTCATTACATGTCCAACAACTTACATAACGAACATATTACATAGGAAACCCAGAGTATTTTCTACAGCAACAATACCAAGATGATAAGTCAAGACACAACCAAACAAACCCAGAGTATATACTCATTCCTTTTCATCTTTGATATTTGGTCCTCCATCTTAGTAATCCTTCGTAGGAGTCCTAGTATAACTTGCTTTGACTGGCCACACATAGGTATATCAAACCACCGAAAAAATCCACATCCTCCCCTATTGAGCCCATATCCTTCGCAGCATAAGAATTGTCTTCCAGGGTTCAAGTTTGTCCAAGATGTCTTTATCATAGTAGCTCTACCACATGAGCACTACGTTGCATCCATCCGGTACATTGTTTTTCCTTTTTCTACTCTTTTTTCTCTTTCTCTTCTTGATGCTCTGTTTTTCCCCCCCATACATAGCCATGTATATATATCTGGCTATATATCAGCGTACTGGCGGGAACATTCCCTCCAATTTTATTTATGTAAAATGTCTCTTTTTCCCTCCACTAACGCTATTCCGTTAATTATTTGAACGACAAACACAAATTGGACTTGAAAGACACAAATTATTAAAGTTTAGGGACTAAAGAAACATAAACAATTGTTAAGGGACCAAATAGAAAAAGTGCGTATAGTTTAGGGGTAAAATTATAATTTACTCATAATAATATGTACTTGCCTAAACCAGCTTGGCTAATAATTGTGCCTAACTTAAATTTTGAGCTAATAAAAATAAATATATTTATATCTCAACTTAATTCAAGAAGAAGAAGAAGAAAGCGAGTGCTAACAGCCACGCGAGCACCAAGAAAGAAGTTGATAATTGACAGTTTCAAATTGCTGTAGGTGATGATCGAGATCAATTGACTAACAAATTTGTCAAGATAATTGTAAAATATTTAATTTATCAAAGTGCAAAAAATGACCGATGTTGAAAAAAATATTCCACTCAGTACATTTTTAACTAATTCACTTATAAATTAATTATTTTATCTCTAACAATATATATTTTTTAAGTTATAAATACATCAATTAAACCTTTATATGGCTGAAATTGTAAGGTTGGTGACAAAATTTTAACTAGTTTAGGGTAGTGACACGTAGACTTGATGTTTAACTAGTTTATTAGTTATACCTTGATGCATGGAGGAAATCTTACTATTAAAAAAAAAAAAAGAGTATGAGAATGAGCATGTGGGCAAGCTGCATGGAGAGTCATAGTTAATGAGGAAGCAAACATAGTGTAAGAGAAGTTGGCTCAAACTTCTTCTCCTTCCTCCATCTACTTCATCATGACGAAAGAAAGGACTTCAAGGCTCAAGATGGAAGATCCTAGAATCTCTAGAAGCTGCTGTAAGGAATCATCATCTTGAGTTCAGCCTTTGAAGGTCAAACAATGAAAGCTACAGTGAAGCTTCTCGTGAGGTGGTGATTTTGGTGTCAGTGCATATGTCTCTTATCCTCAATCAGAAACCTATAAATAGAGAGGTAAGAAATTGTATTTGGTATGACAAACATCAAATTGTAAAGAGTGGTGCGGAATTGAGTGACTGTAACTTTTTTTTCTAAATTAGTGAAATCAAGCTGTCTTTGTAGAGTAGGCAATTGCCCAACCACGTAAATCTAGTTGTGTTTGTTTTGTGCATTCAATATGAGGCCCTCCGGCATAACAATTTGGTATTAGAGTATCGTTGTGCAAAAATAGAGTGTTCAACTCTCTGTTTTTGAAATTTTGCCATATTTCGAAGTTGCCGAAACCAACTTTTGAATACATCATTGCCTAGTTCTCCTTGAGTAGAGCAATTTGAAAAAAAAATTTCACCTGAAACAAATGCCGGAAGCTCTCCTAATCGTCGGTCAAAGTTGGCCTGAAAAAGTCAATGGTCAAGCTGAGAAGACGGATCAAGATGAGCTGCAAAGCCGAGAAGAATATTATGTGACATCACTGTGACGTCATTGTGACATCACTGTAGAATATTTTACAGAATATTCCGTGCCACAGTAGCACCTAGTCAGACAACACATTAGCGTTGATTGGTCGCCACGCCAGCACTGTCACGTTAGCAAGGTGCCATGCCAGCACTGCTACATTAGTAAGGTGCCACGTTAACAGGGTGCCACGTCAGCAAACATAATATTATCTTGTTAACATAATATTCTAACGAAATATTCTCTTTCTGACAGAATATTCCCTGAAGTGTTCTAGTTCATTTTTAGAGCATTTTTTGGGCAATTTGTGATGTAGGAAGACTCATTCCTAGCTAAATCAACCGTTTCGGAAGCAACCATGCACTCTTTTTTTTGAGTTTCAAACCTGAAGTTGGATTTAATTCTACAAGAGTATAGAAATCACCATGTTTTTGGTATTTCAAGCGTCTGTTATTGATTATGGTGGAGAAGTATCCGCGAATATTGAGAAAAGAGTAGAAGAGTCTATTAATAACCCTGCATCTACTGGTAACTCCAGGCGTTGGACGCTAGTGTCTCATGTAATGTTTGAGGTGGAGAAATTTGATGGCAACAGTAACTTCAGAATGTGAAAATGCGAGGTTAATGACATGCTGGTTGAGGACTTGGATGAAATAGAATGGTAGAAAGTTAATCTCCTAGCTTGTGGCTCCATACGACTTTGCCTTGTAGAGGAAGAGAAATATGCCTTTACAGGATATGATATTGTGAAGGAGTTATAGAAGGCAATAGAAAACAAGTTCACGATGAAGAGTATTGAGAACATACTCTACTTGAAGAAGAGGTTGTTTCGCTTTGACTACAAGAAATGTATTTCAATGAATGAATACCTAAATAATTTTAATAAAATTCTTGCTGATTTAAAAATTTTGGGATGTTCAAATCGAAGATGAAGACAAAGCACTGCTGTTATTAAATTCTGAGCCTGACACATATGATCATCTTACCACCACTTTCCTATCTAGTAAAGAAAAGATTAGGTATGTTGATGTGTCAAATGCCTTATTGAATAATAAGTTTAGGAAAAAAAGACAAGTTTGTCAATATGGACTCAACATTAAAGGCATTAACAGTCAGAGGCAGAACAAATAACAGAAGATCTACAGGGCGAGACAGATCTCTATAAAAAACGAGG